CATATGAGGACGATATCAGTAAAAATAATGATTTGTTAAATGAGAAAGATGATGAAGATGATGAACAAAGAAATAGAAGTGGATGCAATGAAGAAGAGGCCATGAATTTAAATTATATTGTCGAAAATGTTACTAAGAGTGTTGGTCTAATTGATAGCCATGAAGGTGTATCTTTTAGTCAATTCATGTGCGATCCAGTTGTTGAAAGTTTTCTTAAAAGTTTTGATCAAGGTAAGCATATGTTTTTATTATATATAGTTTAATTATATATGATTTTAATTTTTTATATTTGAATTTTATAGGTACTGAAAACTTGGTTGATGGTTGTATAAACCAGAAACGAGTTGAAGATGATGTGAATGACAATTTGACTGGTTTTGAGAAAAATGAATTTGATGATGGTAAGTATTTATTTATGTATTTTTTTATACATAAAATATATATGAATATGTTATATAGATGATTCAATTATGGTTTTAATAATTTAGGGACTGTAAATTTGGGTGAGGATGATCATAACAAAGAAGTAATTTCAGATCATACTGTTGATAAAGTTACTATAGAAAAGAAGAAAGAAGATGAATTAATTCATCCAATTTTATTGAAAGGTTCTGCTGAAGTGTTAGGCGAAATTTCTAAAGCAAAGAAGGATGGAGAAGGTGTGGTAAAAGGTGAAGGTGTTGAAGTAGATTCAGATTTAGGAAAAACAATAGAAGATTGTTCAAATAAAAATAAAGATGGAGGTAATTAGTTTATAATGATTGCTTATTCATATATGATTATGTTTATAATTGTTGTTTATTCATATATGATTGTATTTATAATTGTTGCTTATTCATATATAATTTTTATGATTTTTTTGGGTTAGAAAATGCTAAAGAAGGTTTACAAATTATACAATGGAAGGATTCAAATGAAACTCAATCATTGAAAAAGGACAAAGCATAAGGGAAAGTTGAGAAGTTTTCTGGTCCAAGCTTTAGCCTTGGATTTAGTCAAGATTCCCAAGGTTCCAAGAAGGCATCTCAAAGTCAAAGTTCTCCTGAACGGACGACAAAGAAAAAGATTAAGGATAGAGTTTATTTGGGAAAACCAAGTGTTGGGCCACAATGTGTTGTTCCAAATGTTGATGTTATTGATGCTAGTTTCTTTTGCACCCCCTTCGGGTACATTAGAAGGATCATCAAAACCAATTTCTGACAAAGCTAGAGTGATAAATGAAAAAAGTCCAACAAAAACAAAGTCTGGCAAACCTAAAGATATAAATGAAGAGGGAACATCAGAAGTAAATGTCAAAGGAAAGAGAGAAATGAAGTTTTCTTATGTTTATAAGTCACCTTTTAAGTAAAGGTTAATTGATTTTTAAACCATGTTTGACACAAGTAGAAAATTTTGTTTATCAATGACTTTTCGGTCTTCAAGGAAATCCAGGGTAATTTTTTTAAATGTATTATTTTATTTTTATAATTATATTTTTTTATTTTTAATAACATTTAAATAAATATGTACAGGGATATAGTCTTGCTTATGGAATCAGATCTTATGGGTTTTAGAGCTAATTATGAAAGTCTTTATAAAAAAACCTATTTGCATGTAAGTGTTCTTGATTCATGGTCTCGTATACTAAATCATGAAGAGAAATTCGAAGATGTTGTTAATTCTCCACTCAGATTGTTCATGAATGTTGATACTGTAAGATTTTATTTTATGTTTTTCTTTTCATATTTTGATAATCATTAATAATTTTTTATATTAAATATTTACATTTTATTATATAATCACTTCTGATTTTTTTATATTACAGACTTTATCACTTGAATATAATCATTTGAAGGAAATCGGAAAATATAAAGTTGTCAAGGATAACTTCTCTATCAATGTTTCTGGTGATAGAGACTTGAAGATTTTGAAGCATGTTGATATGGTATATTTAGTTTGTTTTATACATGTATGTATATATATATATATATATATATATATATATATATATATATATATATATATATATATATATGGTTAGGTTATATTGTTTCTAGTAACTATTGTGTGCCAGAATGCACAGATCTGGACCACCGGATGAATAGATTCATCAATCATGATCTGAGGGTCTATGATATTACAATAGGGTAGCATGTATCATATAATCACACAAATTTCAGCAAAATGGTATTTTGGTCAATTAACCTATTTTAAAAAAGGAAATTTTCGGATTTTTAGGAATCATTAATTCCCTTATTTTAAAAAATCTGATTTTTTTAAATTAATTATAATTAAATTTTAATATTACTTTTAATAATAACCGATTTTATTCTGTCAGAATGACAAAAAGTCAACAATAAACTAGTAAATATATTTGCGGTTTTATTCTTGCATAATATTGTTTCATTCAAGATACTTTTTATATTAAGGCAGAATTTCGTATATGCCCTTGTTAAACATCTAAATATCGTATTTGCCCAGCCTAAACTCTAAATATCGTATTTGCCATTCTTAATGTTTTTTAATATCATATATACCCAAATCTATTTTTCTGATAATTTTTATTGAATTATAATTCATTTTCATAATCTCAAATCATTATAATGAAAAAAACATTGTAAATGGACAATAGTGCCCTTATTCTAAATTCCAATACATCTCAGATCAATCACGTTGATTGCATTCCATATGGCATCACAACTTCTTCGATATCTCACATTGATTTAATTTCGCAGCTTGTATACTTATGATCGTAGCCACAGCCTCATATTCCCCTGTTGTCGCTATTCCCCGTCGTTGTATGAAAATCATAAGAACAAAGAATTATAAGTATAAGCTTACCTTCCTTCCGATCTGCATACATACTACAATAACATCAAAATGAATTGAATTTTTTTTAACGATTTACATCTTCAGTCCCTTCACTAGTACTTGCTTTACTAAAACAACACAACTATAATCAATCTTAATTTCCTTCTACATACAGATTAATAAGCAAAATGAATTGAACTTTTTTTGGCAATTTAAATTTTCAGTCCCTGCATTAGTACTTGATAGATCTACTTTCATTTTCTCACCCCATGTGGTCAATTGCTTGTTCAGGTGACATCTAAAACAACTCTACGAAGTCATCCTTCTTAATGTCATCACCTAAGAGGCTTATTTTCTCCTATTTTCCAGTAAACATAAACAAGAACATGTGATATAATGAAACAAAGCAGAAAATTCAACTGTTAAAAAGAATTGATTTGGTTATTTGAAACTAAAACTTTGCAAATATGGATGACTACTTGACTTACTGCTTTTGTGCTTAACCCTTATAGTCAGAACCGCATTTAAAATTAAGCTATTCACTAACTTTTGGAGGAAAATCATATGTCAAATAGAGATACCATGGAAAATGCCGGAATTAGAAACTATATTTCATGAAAGAAGTTGAACAATTGAAACTATATTCATGTTAATTCATCCCGATCGCAACTATAAAGAATTTGAACAGTTGAAACTAGGAACCCTAAAAACGGAATTCACATTCTAGATGATTGAATATTCTGCCTTCTGATGAATACCTGAATCCCGGATGTAGTATGTGGCTTTGAATAAGAACTGGTAGTTGATCGATGTAGTATACGACGTTGATCTGAGATAGGGAGGAAGAAGTTGTAAAGCCATATGGAGCTGCAATCAACGTGATTGATCTGAGATGTATCGTAATTTAGACTAGGGGCATTATTGTCCAATTACAATGGTTTTTTAATTTTAATGATTTAAGATTATGAAAAAGAATTATAAATCAATAAAAATTATCAGAAAAATAGAGTTGGATATATATGATATTAAAAAACATTAAGAATGGCAAATACGATATTTAGAGTTTAGGTTGGGCAAATACGATATTTAGATGTTTAGCAAGGGCATATACGAATTTCTGCCTTATATTAAACATGCTTAAAGAATTATACAACATATTATCAAGAATAACATTTTCTAAAGGATACAAATTTTATTCTTTAAGAATCACTATTTACATTCATCCGTAAAGAAAAAGACTATAAACAATTATTACAATCATTCTAAAAAAATTATGACTAATAATGGTTTAAGGATTACATTTATTCTTAAAGATTAAAACTAAAAATGGTTAAAAAAGAAAAAACATCAAAATCTAACAAAAACACTACTCTATTCCGAAAGAATATTATTCCGAAAGAATATTATTCCGAAAGAATATTATCGTTCTCCATGTTTTCTTCATTTTCCACATTAATGGCAACCTCTTCAAAACCTAAATTCACAAGGAAAACATAACCAACTTTCAAATATTAAAAATTTTAGTGCATTAAATAGAATAAAACAATAAATTCTAATAGAATGTGATATACATTCAAATAGAATATAACTATAATTTCTACAAACCAACATTAACAATCATCCCTAAACTTGCAATGCATATTATTCTGAAAGAATGTAATGTTTCATTATTTAGGATGTTATTCCATAAGAATCGAGACCAATAACAAGAATATAAACCAATTTTATTCTGACAGAATTGGTTACGGTAATTCACTTCTTAAGTTGACAAGGAATTCAAGATTCTATTATGACAAAATTAGAATTCGATATTCCATTCTAGCAGAATGATCGACATCAAGATGCATTAAAAAAACCTAGATTTAAACTATGAATTTTATCGAACACGTGGTGTGCTTCTTCAGTTTCTTCAAAAAAAAATAGTGAGAGTCTTACCAATTCAGTTTCTTGGTGGTCGGGAACTGGAGATACAACTAAAAAAACATGTTATGATTAGTACAAAAGCATAGCAATATTCAAATATTCATATCCGAAGAGGGAAAGTATTAAATACCTGGTAGATTGGGGCGCACAATCGAGCAACTGCTGAATCGCAAAAGTGAGTTTTGCTGTCATGAAAATGAATCGCAAAAGCGTATGGAAAAGCGATTTTAGCATGAATGCTGAATCGCAAAAGAACATCATGCTGAATCGTAAAAGCGTATGGAAAGCAAGAGGCCGACGAACATGAAGATGAGGAAGAAGAGTAGTCGAATAGAGGATCTAGAAGTTGCTGTCATGATGGCGGATAATAGGCCGACGGTGGTGCTTGGATGTAAGAATCGATTTCTGGTGGAAAGGAACAGAGGTATCAATGATTTGAGGAAGCCGTCGATGGTTAGGGATATTGCCTTTGTAGGGTTAAACTAATTAAGGAGAGATTAATTGACCTTATTTTTTTTTTACCATAATTAGATATAGTAAGTTTACCATTATACCCTTTTTTAATTTATTATTCCTGAATTCTCATTGGTGCATTTAGGCACACACTATTTGCTAGAAACATTTGAACCTAGCTCTCTCTCTCTCTCTCTCTATATATATATATATATATATATATATATATATATATATTATATATATATATATATAGGCTTAGGTTATTTTGTTTTTACTAACTATTGTGTGCCAGAATGCACAGATCTGGACCAACGGATGAAATTAATCAGTGGACATGATTTGAGAGTGTATGATATTACAATGAGATAACATGTACCATATAATCATACAAAATTTAGCAAAAGGGTATTTTGGACAATTAACTACATTTATAAAAGGAAAATTTCGGATTTTTAGGGAGAATTAATTCTCCTAATTTTATAAATCTGAATTTTTTTAATTAATTCAATTTTAATTCTAACGTAATTTGTAAAACATAACCGATTTTATTCTGTCAGAATATTTTTTTGTTAGAATGATGTTTTTTCAGAAGTTTATTTTATTAGAATATTATTGAAGAATAACAAAATTCTTGAATCCGAGGTTAAAAAATAACAACATTCTAATATATTCTTATACATCCAAACTTAAATATAAATTCATACATATTCTTACAGACTAAAAGTCTTATACATTTTAATATAATTATACATATTCTAAAAGAATATCAACAAAAATGA